GAACGTGGAAGATTGTAAAATCTTAAAGGGGAAAAAAAGCCTTAAAATCTTAAATCTATTCACAAAAACAATTGTACAAACTGAAAATTTAGTTTGTACCTTAGTTTGTTCTAGTTTCATTTCTGCTGAAGTATTAATTTGCCGACGTGTTTCCGGTGAAATGAAACGTCAATAAAACATTACATAATAACTGTGCGAGGTGTTGTTCTGCGCATGCGCACCGCTTCTTACAGACAGTAATAGTGGGACAGTTTGTCCTGAATGGTGGCAGCTTCACAATGAGGAAACCTAAGTGTTGACACGCGCTGGTGGGAATGTTATGAGCTCCTACCTCAGGTTTCTATACAAGTATCCAGATCGCTGGTTGTTTCTCCCCTCCGGAGCTTTGCCCGTTAGGTGCCTGCAGCCATGCAGAGACTGAGGTGTCTTAAAAGTTGTTGGCAGTCGCTCAGATCAAGCTGCGAGGGAGCAGCTAAACCAGCAAGATATTACAGCAATGTAAGTGATTGCTTTGCAGGTAAATTCATTGCAGCATCGATCAGATCAGGATGTATTAAATCTTTTAATGCTTTATGTTGTGCAGTAATAGTGACTGTCTCTGTTTCAAAATATTAGTTTGTTTATATTGAAATGACAAAAGAATTGGAGTTACTTTTATTTTTTATAAACACACATTCATCCATAACCTGGAACCCCTGCTCATGGGGACCCCTTCTTCAAAAGGATCCTGCAGGGCCAAATCAAATCAAAGCAAATGTCACCTTCACAGTCCTCTGCAAGGCAAACAGATCCCATTCATATCCAGTTACATAGGCTTGATTTCCTTTTAAAGTCATCAATGATAATAGAGTCAAATCCAGATCCAAGCCCAGTTTATTCTGTTCAAAAGTAATTGCTTATTTGGTCTAGTCTGTATGAAACCTTAATAATTTTAAAGTTGTATAAAGAGTTTTTTATGCTAATTTAAAAAAAAAAAAATCCCCCCACTGGATTAGATTAAATCAGCCTTCAATTTCCTGTTTTAGGTCACTTAGAATGACCAAATTACCAATTTGTTTGCAGCTTCTCACTGAAAAATTTCCCAATTTTTAGTCAGGTTAGTGGCTCTTTCTAGCTCTGGACATTTCCTATTGTACAGATGTGATGGCCACTCACCCCAAAACATCTGTAAAGCCACTTTTTAGTTATTTTAGCTGTCTGCTCATTAGTCATTTGTATTTTTGCACAAGCATTTGTCCAGTGTCTTGACACGTTTCTTTATTACTCTAGCAGAGGCATGATACAGCCACCCCCATACTTCACAGTTGGGAAGGTGTTTTCAAGTTTTCCCCCTATTTCCTAAAAATATAAGGACATTATGGTCTTAACCTTGAATTGTATTTTATCAGACCGCAAAAGAAATCCTTGTGGACATTTCCAATCAGCATTTTGGCCTTTTTATGTTGCTTTTAGAGTAATGACTTGCAGCTCATTTTTAAGTGGGACTCCCCATTTTGATAATAACATTCTATTACCAGCTTCAGCCGGCACCATTACAAGCTCTTTTTGGGGTTGTTCTGGGGTTGATTTGCACATTTTTCATCAAAACAATCCGTGTTGGTTTCTGAAACACACAGTCTGTCCCCTTTCTAAATAATGGCAGGATTGTACTCATGCTGTTCAGCTTGTATTGAACTGTTTAAACAGATAAAAGTGGTACTCTCAGGTGTCTGAATGTTGGAACCATGTAGGTCCATATCTTTCTTTTAGGTATATCACTTAATTATTTTTCATATTTCTATGGCAACGCATAACAGAGGAGGGTGTCTTGGGTTTTTTTTATCAACTTAAAAGTTTTAGATTATCAGATGTTTTTTAAATTATATTACCTGGCCAGATGTTTGAAGGCATAGTGCTACATCCTTCATATAACTCAATGTTTTCTTCGAGATCAGAACTTGAATTATTGGTCTCATCTGACCAAAGCACTTATTTTCTCTTGTGTACATTTTAATAAATATCCCTACTCTGACCCCTCCTCCTATAGAACCCCAGCTCCTTTGGACTCCTCTTTGACATAGATGGGGTCCTAGTCCGAGGTAGGACCCCGATCCCTGCCGCTAAGCAGTGCTTCAGGAACCTGGTGGACCGCAATGGAAAGTACAAAGTTCCTGTGGTGTTTGTCACAAACGCAGGGAACTGCATGAGGCAGACCAAAGCTGAGCATCTGTCCCATCTGTTGGAGGTGGAGGTAAACTGAAACACATTTAAACTATTATCAGCTTCATCCATCTCCATACGATTTCAGGTTATGTCCTTTATTTCTTTTTATTCCAGGTGTCTCCAGACCAGGTGATGCTGTCCCACAGCCCTCTGCGAATGTTTACACAGTTTCACAAAATGTGCGTACTGGTCTCAGGCCAGGGTCCTGTTGAGGAGGTGGCTCACAAGTATCCTATCTTATCTGAGGGAAACCGGTTCCTCTGCTCACTCTGGCTGTTTGTCTAGGCCAGCGTGCATGATTTGTTTATTTAGTGTGCTGGTGCAAGCTCCACTTTCTTATCAGCTTTTAATCTTTGTCCCCCCTGCATCAGTGAGGCCTCTCACAGATCTGTTCCTTTAGATGAAATGGTTTAGGGTGTTTAAATGAGTACAAGTTGATGTTATTTTAGCTAAATGGTTCTTGGGCAAAATAAAAACTCATCATAGGAAAATTCTAATAATACTATAATTATTCAAAACTGTTAAGAATGGTCACAAAAAAGTAGGAGGTGTTGTTTTTGTTGTCGTCGTACCTCTTTAATGTGTGGTATTGTTGCATGTACACTTAACAGATCGTTTGTAATTTTACTAGTTGTAACCCAGCGTGTGCTCACACCTTTTCTTCTCCATTTCTTACCCATAACAAATTAGTTTTGTACCTATGTTTTGAAGCACCAGCTTATTTATATATATTTTTTTGTATAAATAGCTATAAAATTGCCCATTTATCATGTATGTTATAGTTAAATTATATTCTTTATTTTATTTGAATCTTTGCCTTTTGGTCAATCTGATCGTTCTAGAATATGATCCGTAATAAAACTAAGTAGGTGATTATTTGTTTGGTGTTAAAGCAGGTATGAGATTTCTCCCTGAGGAGTAAAAATTGATGCATGGTTGGTCCAAAAGGTCCGATGGCAGTGATTTCTAACAACTACAAGGTTAAGACTATCAAGGTAGTACAATGTGGTACAAAGTTTAGGACATCCAAATAATAACCACTCAGTGAGTTGAGCTAGGCGGAGCTAGACATGCATCTGGCTGTTGTCAGGTTATCCAAACAAGCCATTACCTTGTAAAATTCGATGAATCCCAGCCTGACGATGTATTGCTGCATGGAATTGGTTTGCTCTTCTCATGCATGTTTAGATTCTCTCCAGGTTCTCTGATCTCTGCCAATCCAAAAAACTATTATTTTTCCTTAAAAACGAAAGAGTTTTTAAAGTTTCCTTTCTATATGAGTGTGTGTGTGTGCATTGTTGTTTATCCTGAGTGTCTCTCTGCTGCCCTATGATGAACTAGTGACCTGTCCAGGGTGAAAGGTCTACCTTTAATCCCATGCCTTTGGAAGGTGGGCACCAGTCCCTGCTCTGCAATGCAAAGACAATTAAGTGTAGACAGTGTAGTGATGGATGATTTAGCCTGACCATTACCTTTAAAGAACATGTTTTAACAGCTTCAGCAACCTTTCTCATCTGTGTGACTTTAACTCACAAAATCCCAGCCTGGGCTTTGAGGATGTTGTAACCATAGATATGCTCAGAGAGGCGTACCCTGTCCTGGATGTTGTGGACCACAGCAGGAGACCCAAAGATTCTGTAAGTGTAACTAATTGCTCAAATCGGTTTACGCTTTCATAAGTTAGAAACTTAATGCTTATTGTCAAATTTCTTACAGATTCCTCCCACTAAAGGCTTACAGCCAATAGATGGTATGTTTCCCTCACACAAGCAGCTTATACGAACAAAGACAAGTTTTCTTTCTTTGCACTTAATCAGAATTTTTATAAAATCTTTAAATAATTTTACATATTGTTGCCGTGGCATCATTTCACATGTTCATCTGATCTAGTTTGAATATATATTTTTTTTTATGGGAGTAAAAGGCTCAATCTAAATACCTCAAATTATTGCTCTTAGTTTTTTTTTCTACCTCCTATCCCTTCACCTTTTGGTGGGGTCAATAGTAAAACTCTATGCAGGGTAGGAAAGGAGCTCCTTACTGCTTTGCTAAATCAATACAGCCTTCACTAAAGGTCTGCATTATAAAACCAAAAACATATGAGAGATGATGTGTAAATTTGCTAATGTCACTAACACTGTTCTGATATTATCGTTATTATCATGACCCACTTCCTTCGTAGCTAACTGTTGCCAATATGAGGTATTGCATTTGAGCCAATGCCAGATTTGTGAGCAGAGGTAGAAGTTGGCCAGGGGTGGCCATGACCTTACCAGGTGATTTAATGTTCCCATGTGGACCTAATTCAAAACCTCCAGCACAACCAGATCGCCTCTATAACAAAGGGAACCAGAATGCTGTAAATAAAGTTTGATATGATGTGTCCCTATAGTCATAAAAGTTTTCTATGACAGATAAAGAGCAACTTCTTAGCCTATTTTAAGTGCATATTAAACAAATAAGTGTATCATATTTGACATATATGAAATTTTGAGACCTCTACATCATAAGTTTGACATGTTTGTTCTTGAAAACCCTCACTTATTGGTTATTTATTCTACAGGTGCACAGTATTTATATTGTTAAAATACTTTATAGTACAGTGTTTTGTTTTTTTTTTATTTATCCTTTATTAACCACATAATACCCATTGAGTTTAAAAATCTCTTGCAAGGGAGACCTAATTTGTTTTTCTTTTTTAACTATTCACTATTATGTTATTCTTATACACTTTTCTAGGTCCACATTTGTGTGACCATTTTTTCTATAATCTTTGCTGGTGTAAACACCAGAATTTCCCCACTGTGGGGTATTAAAGGGGTTTTCTATTCTATTCTATTCCATTCTTATATAATCAGACACAAGTAATGAACAGAAATTTAATTTCTGAGATTTTAATAACAACTTTAGTTTGAAAAAGATAGAATTTTTCTGATTATTATTTCATGTTTTAGGCCTTAAAGAGTTAAGCAGAAACATATATAATTAATTTAGATAGCATAGCTGTATAAATATGCATATACGGTATATTTATTTTTAAGGGCTTCATGGAAATCTGGCCTCTTAAATTATTTATTTGTGAAATATAGATGTTATGCTCGTTCATTTTCCCTTTGGTACAGATTTATTTATGTAGAATCAACCTGAACTGTTATTTTTTCAGTTTCTGGCTACACCATAGTGCACATCTCCGCCTCACCACCCTATGAAAACCTCCTTGCTCTGCCCCTGTTTAGGAAGAAATGCTTTTAACAGCAACCAGGCGTGACTCCTTTAGTCTGTAATTTTACAGACTCGTTTTGCTAATAGAATTTAATTCCATCTTATAACTTTTCAATTAATAGTTTCATTTTGGGGTACACAATATTGGACAGTGCGTGTCAATACTTAGGTTTCCTCATTGTGAATATTGGCCCATAACTTTTTTTTCCCCTAGACCTACATACAGACCCTATACATTTTTCTCTTCCTGTCCTAAGCAGTTATTGCGCAGCAGTTCAGCTATCTATTTTTTTTTTGTGTGTGTGTGTGTGTGTGTGTGTGTGTGTGTGTGTGATAAATCACAGCACTTTAATAACAATGTTTGCTCTGAAAATGAGTATTTGCTGAAGGTTAACTTTTAAACAGAAGGTGCCTTGCTTTAATATTTACAGCTGTGATTTTATTTGGTGAGCCAATCAGATGGGAGACCAATCTTCAGCTCATCATAGACGTTCTTCTAACCAACGGAGATCCAGGCAAATCATGGACCTCAACCCAGTTTCCTCACATCCCCGTCCTGGCCTGCAATATGGACCTGCTGTGGATGGCAGAGGCAAAAAATCCAAGGCATGTCTGTTTGATCCACTAAACCCATAATTACTCAGAGTTTGGCACATTGAATGCTGAGTTGTCCTTGTGTTACAGGTTTGGACATGGTATGTTCCTGGTTTGCTTAGAGAGTCTGTACAAAAAGGTCACAGGTTACGATCTGAAGTATGAGGCTCTGATTGGTAAACCAAGTGTGGTAACTTATAACTACGCTGAGCTGTTAATAAGGCAACAGGCGGAGAAACTTGGCTGGAGCACACCTGTGAAGACGCTCTACGCTATAGGGTGAGTTTATTTATTCAATGTTTCAAATGTGAAAATCATTTTTAAAAAATCATTATTTTGATTAGTTTAACCTTTTTCAACAGAGACAACCCCATGGCAGACATATATGGAGCAAACCTCTACAATCGCTACCTTCAGGCCTCCCAGCGCACCAAAGCCAAAGTGAAGGCCAAGAGTGGAGGAGGAGCAGATCCAGCGAATGAAGCTGTCGAGAGCCAACATAAAATGACAGCGGCAGAAATGGGCGGTGCAGCTTACGGGTCAGAGGAAGACCTTCCTGAAGGTTGCAGGTCTATCCTGGTTTGTACAGGCGTGTACAGCAGAGATCAACAGGAGCTGCCTTCAGATCCAGCGCAGACGGTTACCGAGCAACGCATCTTCCACGGCCACAGGGACTTCCGCTTCGACCCCACCCTCACACAGCCCTCGTTCGTGGTGCAGGACGTGAAAGAGGCTGTGGAGCTGGTTTTCCAGGAGGAAGGCTGGCCTCTAGAGTAGTGCAGAAATATTCAGATTGGTTCTCTTTTTTAAAAAACTATTATACATATCCTGGCTGTTACTGATTAATTTTTCTGATTGGCTGAAAAAGCTATGTTTTCCCAAGTCTTCACACCCTCTTAAAATGGCTTATTTTTTCATTTTTATAAAAAAAAAAAAAAAAAATTTATAATGAATAATATCTTAACATTTTCCACCATTAATGCAACACACATCACGTATGAATTGATTATATCCAAAAGAAATAAAACATCCGTCACAAGAAAAACAAAAAAACACAATAATGTTGCATAAATATGCATAACCTTAATCTGATCCTTTAGTTATCATTCAGCCTTTTTGATAAAAAATCAGCAGCATTCGCTTTCTTTGCCCTGCAAATGTTAGGTTCTGGAATAGGGATTTACAAAACCTTATTTTTCCTCTCCTTGGATCATTAAAACTTTCCGATTAATAATTAAGATGCATGTTTGAATAAGGGATATTTTCCAACACAGTCCTGAGCAGCCATCATCCTGATCTCCTGCATCAATGAATGCCTCATTAACACATTACTGCAGAACTTCCTGAGGAGGTTATTGGCAGTTAAAAGATACAGGACAGTATTTTTTTCTGTTCTCGGACCATTGATGGCTATTTTTACTGTCAGTGTCCGATGCTGTGAATACTTTTTTCTTACCAGTCTGACTGATGCCTTTATATTATAGGAACCTGCATTTTAACTGTTTCTAACTAAAGGATAAAAATGTAGATGTCAGAAGAATCCAAGAAGGAAACATTTCAAGTTCATCAGATTTCCTATAATTCATGGTGTGTGTAAAAGTTAAAAAAAACCCAGAAAAGTTAAATTGAGATTTAACAAAGGTGATAAGGTCAAGGATGCGAATACCTGTGCTGCACGTTTATTTCAGCTTTTTGTTTTTTTAGATTTTAGTTTGTTTTGTTTTTGAAATGTGGAGAACACACACATATCCACAATAGGATCAGAATTTATAGATCAGTCAGATTTCACATAAATAACATAGTTTTAATCAGCTAACACAACCTCACCTTTAATATTGTATGCCCACTTTATTTTCATATCGTCTTTATTTATAGAATTCTGTAACCATGACCTTTGACCTGCTTTTAAACTAATTACATCAGCTCTTTAAATCTTTAAAAGATAACTTAGAGACTATAGTTGTCTGGCTGCTTAAATAAAGCACAGCTTAAGGATATTTAAATCAATACAGAGCAAAGGCTAAATAGCCACAAATGTTGCTTAATGGGAAAAAAGCACTTATTGACATGAAGAGGAATTTTATTTGAAAAATAAATCTTTTCCTCTTATTTTTTATGGTGTGCCAGCTGGTATTTTCCAGCCTGATTTGTTTTGAATTCAGGGTTAATGTATAACCAGTAATGCTCAGGAGATTAAATTGCCATTGTTTAATTTAGCTTAAAAAAAAAAGTTGTTTTTTTTACTTGATATTTTTGAATGTTTCTGTGAAGTTGACAGGATTGCACTGCAGGAGTTTGTACAGAAAACGAGGAGTGGTTTACTACATTTATTGAACTGCAGTATTTGTTCCATCTTTAATGAAGATTTGAATGTGAAGGAAACTTCAGGTCAATACTTCGGAACTCTGGTAATGTACTGTAAAAGCAATACTTTGTAACAACAATTAAAAACATGAAACAAGCTGAAAGTAGGCTGAAAATGGTGTTTACTGTTGAAAAACGTTTGTATAGATTCCTGCAGCAAAGGCACGACTCATTACATTTTGCAGCAGTTTATCCCCAAGAGGAATATTTCAAACCTTAGTTACAGATTCCATTAAGATTTATAAATACTATAACAAGAATATGTACACAAAAAAACATCTAAAACCGAACTTGCAAACATTGTCTTCAAAGAAACTACAAACTATCATTAGGCTCTTCAGCTTTGTATCAAATGCTAAATCTGATTGTCTTTTCAGCACCCACACTTTTTATTGTCTGAAACGTTGCCTTGAATTGGATGTGAGCAATCGCTTAGCATGAACTGCGGAGAGCAATGAGAGTTCTGATCTGCGATGGTCATGCCGTTGCGGGCCAGCAGCTCCCGAGCCATGAGGATGAAGGCGGCGTCTATGTTCTGGGCCTCCTTAGCTGATGTCTCCAGAGCAGCCAGCAGGCTGTTCTTTTCAGCTAGGGTGCATGCATCCTCAAACAGCACCTGTCTCTTAGCATGGAGATCCGACTTATTACCTGCAGAAGATTTCAACATCTGTATTATTATCTTAATTTTTCTGTTCAACTATTAAAACACAAACTAGCATCAACTTAAGGTGAATAAATTAAGCAAGATAGTATTCAGCTAAGTGAGTATTAAAACCAACTAACTACATTTAATCATAATAAAACCCAAAGCATCAATGTATTTGACATTTGACATGATATGTTAAGTTAGTGCAAGAAAAAAGATGGTTGAGTCCAAACAGCTTGCCACGGCAGGTCATAATGTCTTGTACACAGACTTGGCAAGTGAGTCTTAATGCTATATACCCTTCCTGATACAACATAGATCCACCCTGGGTCCCCCCTTTTAAAAAAAATAGAGGTAGTTTACAATATTGCAGAGGGTTAGGGTAAACCACTTTTTTTTTTTATAATCTGACAAAAAATAAATTAGGCATACCTGGATAATGAGACAAATTAATGTGGGTTTTTTTCTCAGTATAAACAAAAACATTTGTTAGAGAGCATTAGTGAGTAAAAAGGATCATGGAGACCCAGGAACAGATCAAACAGTTGTAGAATAAAGGTTTAGAAATGTTAAAAACAAGTTTAGGTTAAGATGGAATAATCTACCAACTATTAGTAAAACAAGATTTTTTTTTAAGTAGATCTTTTAGCATGGAGTGCCATGTTCTCCCTGTGCATGTTTGGATTCTCTCCGGGTACTCCGGCTTCCTCCCACAGTATAAAATCATGACTGTTAGGTTAATTGGCTTCTCTGTATTCTCCTTAAGTGTGAGTGTGTGCATGAATGATTGTTTGTCCTGTTTGTCTCTGTGTTGTCCTGCTATAGACTGGCG